ACAAAAGGGTTGCAACCCATAGGTTGAGAACTTAGAGGCTTGAAAAAAGTGATAGGCTCTGAAGTGCTACTTGGTCCCCAGAAGTTCCCTGGCAAAGTGTAAAGGAAGGGACTCAAGGGTTCAGGTAGGTGAACTTGTGGGAAAAGGGTTTGATATGATATTGGAAAACTCGCCCAGGCTCTGTTCCCTGGGAGCTTCCAGAGGGCACTTTATTTTCCCAGATGATAAAGACTGTATGAGGAAGGGACTGCAACAGCAGCAGCAGCAGCAGGCAGGCAGACAGAAGCAGATATGTATATAATGAAAATCTAACCCAGCTGCAAACATCCTTTATGATTGCAATGATAATGCCATTATTATAGGACAAATCTGCGAAATTTGAAGAGACTCCGGATTCTGGAAGTCCCATGGGTCCTTAGAAAGAACTGCTGCTTTTATCTTCCCACCAACAAATAAGGGGTCATTAAGAGTCCTCCACAGGTTTCCTGAAAGGAGGTGGGCCGGAAATTTGTAAAGGCACAGACTGACATTTGATAACTGTTAAGTATGTGTGCCCTCGCACACACCATGTCTTAGCACTACAGGCTCTTGCTCGACAGTGAGGATGGAACTTACCAGTCAATGCTCAGTAGACATTTTGGAACTAGGTTTATTGACCTCTAGTTTGACCTCATGTTGACAGCACTCTAGGTCGTCACTGCGTAACATTTTTAAAAGACAGTTTGCAAATCTCAGAGAGGGTGTCTAACTCCGTGCCTTCAGGTGATCCTCCAGGGCAATGCTTCTCCTGCTCGGGGAAGCCTCACTTTGCTGTATAACGGCACCATCAGAGGCCATCATCAGAATGACTTTCCAGGGAATGCCACATTTGTCTGTCAGCAGGCTGTTGTGCTAAGTGGAGAAGAAGAGCCAGAAGTGCTCGGAATGTCTGGATGAGATGCATGAGCCTCAGGGGAAGGGGTGGGAGCAACCTGTCATGCCCTTAGGCATCTCATGGCTTGTGGGACTCTCTGCTCCAGCTGCGGAGATTTTCTCTAGGAAGCAAAAGGAAGTTAGCGTCCCTTGACCCCGCAGCTAGCAAGGAGGAACTGTAAAGCCTGAGGGGCCAAAGAATGTAGGGAGCTTTTGCGGATCTGTAGAGGAAATGAATTTAGTGCTAGAGACTTTGGACCTGCGGATCCCTTCTCTAAGGACATTGAAATGGATTTATGGCCTCTAGAACAGTTAACACGGTTTGGTTTAAGCCACTAAGTATGTGGTAATTTTCCACCAGGCTGAAGAATGTCTACCCTGTTGTCAAACAGGCATCAACTATTGTGCCTTTGACACAAAGAAGCAACTTAGGAATGAGGACTCCAGCCCTGACTGGAGTTAACCTGTGTTCTGAAGGGCTCTGCCTTTACTGTCTGCAGGACGTCTGCGAACTCCGCTCTCAGGGACTCACAGTCTCTCTGCACAGGACTGTGGAGACCTTCCCTTCCCTCAGCGCAGGGTGTGCTCCTGTTTCCTGCTACTGGTCACATTTGCGGAAGCGCCACCTAGTGGAGTAACTTAGATCACAAGCCCTCTGTCCATTGTGAACAGCCGCACAGATCCCATAGCTGCACCCCAGAGGTCTTTCTGTTTTCGCTCCCTCAGGAGACAGGCATTTCTAAATAACAACCCCAAATGGAGAAGGACAGCACAGTGGCCAGGTCCACCATTCTAGTAACCCTCTTTTCCAGGAACACTCTTCCTTGGGATCTGCTGAACACCTGCTTCATCCAGAATGTAAAGAAAAAAAAAAAAAAAAAAAGAAAGAAAGAAACCCCAAACCCCAAACCAAACACTCCGCTCACCTAAACACAATGTCTCTAAGTCTAATTGGGTGAAGTTGGCCGCCCTCCTTCCTCCTTCTTCTCAAGAGACTTTAAAAAGAAGTAACTCTACTGTCTCTGAAAGCCTTTCTTTCACTTTGGGGCTCTCTAACAAACCCTTAGCTTGAATGCCAACCTTAACCCATGAACCTTGCCTATTTTTCCCTACCAGTAATAGCATGGCTCTTAAAGGAGATCCTTGCTCCATCAGGACATGTGTCTTTGTGTTCTTTGTGTCAAAGCCCACTCTATGGTCTGTGGCTCTAATAGGGAATATGTGGATTGAAGAGGCCAGGGCTGGAAGTAGAAGAGGCCTTTGGCTCCCTGAGGAACCCATGCTTCTTTCTACATCTTTCAAATCTGTTGGTCTAATGGCCTGGATCTTGGAGAGGAGGCAATGAGACTTAGTGTACTTTAAGGCATGACTAGTCACTTTAGATTGCTCCTGAAAATACACTGGTGAGTGAGCCCAGTCTTCTTGATGGTGGTAGGGTGGCTACTGAGCCATAATGAGACCATGGAGGAGTGTTTGGCATGGAGGTGGCCCATGGGTTCATTTGTTGGAGTTTCCAGGCATAGATTTTTTTAAAATAAAATGCTAATTGACCGGTAGCCAGGTAGGAAGTAGAGGCAGGGCAATGAGAACAGGAGAATTCTGGGAAGAGGATTCTGAAGTCTGCAGTTGTGATCCAGAAACAGAGCAAGCAAGATGTGACTGCCTCACTAAATAGGTACCGAACCATATGGCTAACATGAACAAGAATAATGGGCTAAACTAAGTTATAAGAGTTAATAAGAAGCCTGAGCTAATGGGTCATAGATTTAAGGGTGAGTAGAAAAGTACAGCAAATACAGTTCAATCGTGGTATGGTGACTAGGGTCCTAAAGCCCACATGTGACAGGATGAAGGGAATCTAGACTGGGTAGCAGAAAAGGGAGGCAATGTTGTAATAGGAGCAGCGGGGCTGCGTCCCCAGCACCCCGGCCGCCTGGCTAGCTTATGCCCCGAAATAATTACACGGACACTGTATTCTTTTAAACACTGCTTGGCCCATTTCTATCTAGCCTCTTCTAGGCTAATTCTCGCACCTGGACTAGTCCATTTCTAATCATCTGTGTAGCCCACGAGGTGGCTTACCAGGGAGATTCTAGCCTATGACCATCCTGGGTCGGCCTGGGTCGGAGCTGAATTGTGTCAGCCCGGGAGAGAGGAGCATGGCGTCTCTGAGCTCACTTCCTCTTCCTCCCAGCATTCTGTTCTGTTTACTCCTCCCACCTATGTTTTAACCTATGAGACCAAGCAGTTTCTTTATTACTTAACCAATGAAATCAACAGATTGATATATGACACTCCCACATCAAGGCAACACATACCAACTGTGTCATCTTGGGACTAACTATGTGTATTGGGGTTAAGGACTGTTCTCTTTTTATATACAAGAACTATGACAACAGAATCTAGAAGCATCTATACCTAGATGAGGTAATTACACCTTGAAGAGTGAGTGCATCTAATCAGTATAAAGATGAACTGTAGAGATGCTGTGGGACCTGTTAATCTTTCCTGAGACTTTAGCATCCATTTCTCAGCCCTTGTGAATGTTGGTTGCTGACAGCAGTAAGTATTCCCTATCATTACTTAATGATACTTAATGAATTGGTCAGTTCAGCATTAAGTGACTATATTAGTTCTAAGACTTTAAACACATTTTATATTTTATTTTCTAGGGTTTTGTCTTCATGTACGAGCCTTCGGGTCCATGCCTGTGAAGAAATTTCTGAGGCTAAGCATGGAGCAGGAAGCCCGGTCTTTCAAGGGCAGTCTTGGCAACAGTGAAGCCTCTGACTCAAAAAGTAAGCAGAGTGCTGGAGATGTAGCTTAGGGGTAGAGCACTCACATGTCTGGCAAAGCCTAGTGTTGTAGGAACTCCCTCAGCCAATAGCCTTTAAGATACCAGCCCACTTGGGCGTGGCCTCTTATCCTATAAATGCCTATTAGAGCATGCTCTCTTTATACCTGGCTTCTGAATTCAATTCCTGTTTCCTGTGAGTCTACCCCTAAATAAATAACTTTATTTTACTCAATTCGGACCCAGTGTGGGATTATTTTAAAGCTTACATCTTCAGCCTAGGACTATAAAAAAGAAAAAGAATAATGGAACAAACTTCTGTGATCCTGGTGTGATTGCATCTCTGGATCTAGATGGTTACTTAATCCCTATACTCTGTCCAGAAGGAATGGAAGGTGAGATTCATATCAACAAAATGAAGGCTATCACTTCTGTAGAAGGTGACATGCTTTTGCTAAATCCTATTGCTTGATATTCAGTTTTGGGACCATGCTCAGACCCATGAACACCTGGGAAAGGTAGCCTTTGTACAAGGTGCTCAATATCTCTCAGAAATTTGGGATTCTGTTACCAAGGGAGAGAGAGAATGGATGTTGGAACAATGGTCACAGTACTGTTCTTGGTGGCAACATCTTGAGAGTTAGGCACAGCCCACCAGCGAGCCCAACACTTTGCCTTTGAAAACTTTCTTGGGGTCCATTCCTGCTGGAATTTGTAGATTTTTTTCTTTTTCTTTTTCTTTTTTTTTTTGAGACAAGGTTTTTCTGTGTTACAGCCCTAGCTGTCCTAGAACTAGCTTTTATAGACCAGGCTAGCCTTGAACTCACAGAGATTCGCCTGCCTCTGCCTCCCAAGTGTTGGGATTAAAGGTGTATGCCACCACTACCCGGCTGGAATTGGTAGCTCTTTCTTTGGGTGTGTGGGCACTTGCAGGAGTATGTGTGTGCATTCAAGCACATACTTGTATCCTTTTATTAGAAAAGGAAATGATTCAATGCTGTTTCCTTCGGTCTTCTTGCGGCTGTCAGATGAGCTGGGTTTGGAGATTGCTATTGGTGAAACAGTTCCCAAAGTCCCTTTCATGTTTCCTTTGTTGATTTTACAGGATGGCTTTCTTTCTCTCCTTCTTTTTTCCCTCCCTTCCCCCTCCCCTCTTTCTCTCTTACTTTTCACCCCCACCCCTTCTCCTCTATCTTCTTATGTCGCCCTGGCACTCCCTCACCATGTCCCACTGCTCATATTTTGACAAGGGTGGAAAGGGGGGAGGGGATGAAACAAGTAATGACTTAGAATGTCTGCTTGACATATTTTTTAAACTTTTATTATTAGTTTTTATTACACAAGTAATACATGTTCATTGTAGAAAAATTAGAAAACACAGAAAAGCAAAAAGAAAAATAATCACCCATAATCCCACTACCCGTGGATAACGGCTATTAACATAGTAGTGTATGGCCTTCTAGCTTTCTTATGCATATATATATATACATACGTAGATATATTTATATGTGATTTTCTTTTTTTACAAATATTGTATCATACTATACATACTGTATTATAACATGTTTTCTTTTAATATATATTGTCAACGTCAGTGTTTATTCCCTGAAAAAAATTATACAGATACTACATGCTCTTTGTGAAAAAGTCAGAAATCACAGATATGCAGAAAGAAATACAATTGCTCCAAATCTCACCTCCCAGAGAGAAATGTTGGCATTCTGCAGGGAAACAGTCTTTCTGATTCGGTAACGTACACACGTGTAGGTATGTTAGTAAGAGGGTAACTCTCTAGAAAGTCTCCTATTATTTCCTTTCTCATCTGACAACAAAACTGCACATTTCAATAAATACACATTTCAATAAATACACATGGTGAGCATTCTTAACTGGTGCACGGTATCCGTTGAAAGGATATACCATATTTAACCATACAATGTAGGCATATTTACAAAACGTCCTTTCTTGTATGACTTTTAAAATAATGACTAAATGCATCTTAGCTCACTTTTTTTGCTGAACATTAAATAACATAATAATATTTATTCAGTGTGTGTGTGTGTGTGTGTGTGTGTAGATTAGAGGCTAACCTGCAAGAGAGTCAGTTGCCTCCACCTCCCATGTGAGTTCAGGGGTCTAACGTGCTTGGTGGCAAGAGTAGTCTTTCCCTGTTGAGTCTTCTTGCTGGCCCATTGCTGAACTTTTAAAAGGAGAATTTCCTTAATGTGAAATTACAGAGTGTGCATGAAAAATGCATAGTACCAAAACACTTTCTGGAAAGGTCAGATCAGTTTATACTCTTGTTGGCTACAAGGGAATATTTATATTTGAAATTTCCTCCTGTCCCCAGGAACTTGAATGATTTATATGCATACCTTTCTGAGTTGTTCATATATGCAGTCTTTGTTACTAGTGTGTTCAGATATGTTTAATGCTATAGGTGGATTATTACAGCTTATGGTCCTTATTACAGCCTTGATTCTTTAGCTCTTGATTCTCCTGGAAAGTTAGATTCTTTCTCTGACTCACGAAATACTCTAATGCCATTCATTCACTATTCACTCATTCAGTGGGCATGTTTTTATTATTTGGTGTGTTTACAGCACTATGATCTGAGATGAGAAACAGTGTTAAACAAAATGTATGTGATTGTTACCTTTCATCCTTTCAGTTTAGGGGATAGACCAACAATCGTACAAGCAGTGCTGGGAAAAGTACAAGTCTTGTAAACAACTGAGCCCACCCCAGGTGCTGTCGAGGTCCAATCTCGTTCTTGTAAACAACTGAGCCCATCCCAAGTGCTGTAGAGGTCCAATCTCGTTCTTGCATGAACTGCAAATACTATTTTCTCTTGATTTGGTTTATTATTTACTGTATAGAACTTTTACCTTCTTTTAAAAGATAATGTCAGTCAAACCCATCCATCTTCTCTTTATCACATCTTCCTTTGGTATTATGCTGAGAAAGGCTTTTATCCCCCACATTAAAATAACGTCTCGGATACTTATAAGTCTTTTTATGCTTATTATTTATTCACAAGTTTTAAATTTTGAATATTTATTTTAATTAGAATTTATTTTGATTAAAGTATGGACCTAATATTGCTCCCAGGAGAGGTTAACTAGTTATTCCAGACAACTTACTTAACGATCCCAACTTTTCTCAAATTTGAAGTGTATGGTACTCAGTCGTTTTATGTTATTGGATGTACTGAGGATGCTGTAATTAGTTATAGCAACTTATTGTGAGGCTGATATAGTAGCACTGCTCTTCCTCATTCTACCTATAGTTACTGGAAAGGTAAGCATTTTCTGTCGTGATATTCCAGAACAAAAGGAAAACAGAGATGTTGCTTCTTAGGCACGGATGTGTGAAGAAGGGACTTAGACTGCATGACAATTCGTAATTCTTTCAATCCTGAGATGTTCACAGTTTGGAAGTCCTAATGGGTTCGTTGTTAATCTGGTCCATTCACGGGTTTTCTAAAATAAATGAGACGGGTTTGAATACTTGCTTTGTGCCATTGTGAAGCTGGCCTTCCACTAGGTGGCAGCATTGCCTAAATATGAGCATCCTAACTTTTCACAGGCGTAAGGAGGAACCCAAAGGTTGGGCAGGCTTGAGAATTTCGCCGGCATTAGGGCTCTTGCTGCATCGATAGCCTTCATTGTACACGAACAACGAATGGCACAACAGGGCAGCTCGCAGTGGGTCTGCATCTAGACGCTACACATCAGGGGTCAGACATCGAAGTGATACTTTGGCCTTAAGGTTACTTCATGTTTCTTCGAAGGAGCCTTTGGGTCTGCCCCCAACTGATTTAGAGCCCAGGAACTTGATTTTACACAAAACATTTGTGGAGGGGGGGGGCAGATGATGCTTACTTTTATACATGGTGATGTTCTACAGGTTTTACACACACACACACACACACACACACACACACAAATGTATTCTTTACAATTTGCAGGAAAAGCTAAAATAGGTAATAAAAAGTAAGGTGATAAAATGAGTGTGTGCCACACACAAAAAAGTGTCATTCTTTTCTGTTTGAAGCGTGTGGGTTTGTTTGTGAGACAATAGTCAGCGTTTTCTCCTACGCCAGATGGGCTGGGTGCTTCTGTGAGCTCAAAGATAACCTTCCGCAGGGAGGGAGGCAGCAGCTTTATCTCATGGAACCACATCCGAGACAGTCCATTGGCAAGGTGACAGGAGAGAGGGGCAGCTCCTACCGGATGCACTTGGCATATCTAAGGGGAGGTGGTGAATCACCCACGGCAACCAGAAGCCAACATAGTTATCAGAGCTTAGATTACTAAATGTTGCTTTAGGACCTGCTACTTCATGGTTGTCTGTAAATCTCAGAGTGTGTCTGTGGGAGGTATAAAACTGAGCAAAGGCTGGAGAACAGGCACTGAATAAAAGGTAAGGTGCTTGGACTATATTACCTTAGATACGGAAGTCTGGCTAGGCGATTAGACGTACTCCCATCTCCATGAATAGCTACCATGGCGTTCTCAGACATGGAGGTGAGACCTGATTTTTTTTTTTTTTAACAGTCTTCAGTTGTACAAAGGACAATTGCACAAAAGGTGTTATTATCACGTTGCAACTAAGGAGAGAGCGAACGCAAACGAACTAAAGCCGGAGCGATTTAGGTCAGGCAGCAACAGGAGCGTGCTGCACCCCGCGGGCTTATCCGTCAGCAAGTCTGCATGGATTGCTAGGAACGAAGCTGAAGTGTGGGGTTCAGTTCAGTCAGAGTGTGTGACAGAAAGAGACGGGGGCTGAGAACATGCCATTTAGAAACGATAGCTCATAAATGAGATAACCTCTACCTCACTTGAAGAGACCTGTATTCTTTAGCGAATACGAAGCTTAGTTAAGATGTCGGGGCCAGGTGAGCTGGGAGCGAGTGGTTCCTTGCTTTGTCAGGAGTCTAAATAATACATTCCTTCTATTGCTCCATGAACACTCCAATTCAGAACAACTATAATTTTCTCCTGTAAGTTGTCAGAAGTACTTCTTCTAGTGAATCCACTCATGTCTGTAACAATGAATGCATCAGTTAACGGCTCAGTGGAACGTAGTGTGGGGTTCCAAGAGATTAGCCCACAGCAACTGGTGGAACGGAAATGCAGACCAGTGAGAGACTTTGGAGGCCTTTTTCATCCCTGAATTCTTTCACTTTTAATACAAAAAGATAGGAGAAAATTTAAAGTACTGTACAGTTTTCTTTCCAGATATTAGGTTGAATGATGTGAAACTGCCATTTTTAAATAGGTGAAAACAGTCAGAGATCAGCCATTTCATAGAATTCAACCGAATACAATAATTATCCATGTTTTCCATGTTCTGTAAAGTGAAAGGCTTTACACCATTTTGTTTTTAGGCCAGGATATTGATATCAGTGTCCAAATAAGTGCCTACCCAAACCTGGGCTTAAAGCCACCACTTGAAGCTAGTTTGTCCCTCTCAAGGTTGGGCACCAGCACCTCCTGTCTGACTTGAAGATTGTTCAGAGAATGGAGAACAAGGCAAAAAGTGCAAAGATCCATCTTCCAACTCACGGCGAATTCTGCTTGGGAAAAGGGTCAAAGGGAGGACAGAAGAAAGTAAAAGATAATGGGATTTGTACCATATAACCAGTTCAGTGGAAGAACAGAGCCATGAGCGTGGAAGCATAGTAGGTGGCTCCCCCTTTGCTAAGATACAGTATTGCTTAGTGTGTCCTGCTCTCAAGATGCTAGACATTAAGACAAGACAGAGAGTAACATTGGAAAAGCCGTATCTGCATAGTCATCTAAAATGAGACAAGCTAAGCTTAACTAAAACATTTTCTTCATTGATAATGTAAAATGTTAAAGAGTTTATGTTCTGAGCTAATTCCAGCATGCCCTAAAAGATTGAACACTATGCTGATGTGCGGACTCCATGCTTCAGGTTTCAATTCAAACAAAATGTGATAATATTCAGTTTTACATCTGAGGGTAATTGTATAGGTTACTACACCATTTCCTAACTGGATAACTTCATTTTCCAAGAAGCTTAAAAAGACACCATTGGATTAAAAGGAAATTAGTTGCCCATATGCAGTGTACGAAGATAATAGGATTATTGAGTATTTACAAAATGTATGTTTCATATATGGTTTTGTTGCATTATAAATTATGATTTTTTTTATGTTGACACTTAGATTCTGACAGAATGGAAGACTAAATGTAAATGAGCGCAGGGAAAACAACACGTGAGGTGGTGTGTGTTCGGGTATAGTATTATTTCTAATGATACTCATAGGTTGCGTTTTTCTGAACAGTTTTGCTGTTTAAAATAGATTTCTATGTTTAGAGACATCTTTTATATCTGGTAAATGGTTAACATGAGATCAGCAAGAGCTACAGATATACTATTATATGTGAAATAATTTTTCTCTGTATAATACATTTAAAAAACCTTTAAATAATTTAAAAATCATAATTCTTGCATCTGTCATGGGATGGTTCAGAGCAGACATGCACAATGTCAACTTTTTAAAACCTCTTTAAAAACAGGCTGCAATTTTTGAATCTGTTCTTTTTTTTTTTCCTTGACGACAGCTGCTTTCAAGTGTAAAATTATTGAAAAGGGCAGGGAGAGGCAGATAAAAGTAAGAAGGAAGCATAAAAAAGGTGGTCAAAACCATTCTCGGCGTTTGGCTGTGTGGAGGTTTCCAGTTCTGGGGTGTTTTTCAGGCGATCTTGGCGGTGAGTTTCCAGGGGGAACCGCCTAGCTTGACACAAGACAACACAACCCGAAGAACCTTCTCTTCCGTCTTCTGACCATGGGGTAGGGAGTTAAATTCAGAAGGCTGCTGTCATCTGTGATGGGACAGAATGTACATAGGAGTAAGGCACAGACAAAAGAATCCTCTCTTTATGAAGTGGCTTTAAAAGTCCATCATCCCATCCAACACACTCTAAACCCCAGCAATGTCAATGTTTTGGACAAGAGGCTATCTCTAGCACTGAAGGATCTCAGCAATGCTTTGTTGTTAGAGGCTATCCCCATCACTGAAGGACTTCAACAATGTCCTTGGCCTTCACTCACTAGGATGCCTCTATCAGGCATTTTTGGGACAACCAAAAACGTTCCCAGATCTGGCCAACTGTCCCCCTGGGACAGATACTCTAAGGCTGAGAACCACTGGTTATAATTCAATTGAAAGTGCTGGGAGACGGCCTTCCAGTTGGGAGAAGCTGCACTTGCCTTAACTGAAGCAACCCAACATCTGAGTGAGCTTGGCTTTGTAAGCTTGCCTTCTGTGACCCTCATCCATCACTCAACTAATGTGGGATTCCCCTCTGTATACTGTGAATATGCTTTATTACCTTTGGTTGGTAAAGAAGCTGCTTTGGCCTATGGCAGGACAGAATAGGCAGGAAAACTAAACTGAATTCAGGGAGAAAGAAGGTGGAGTCAGGCAGATGCCATGTAGCTGAAGAAGGAGAAAGACACTGGAACCTTACTGGTAAGCCACAGCCTTGTGCGGATACACAGATGAATAGAAATGGGTCAATTCAGTATGTAAGAGATAGTTAGAAATACGCCTGAACCACTGATCAAACAGTGTTGTGATTGATATAGTTTCCGTGTGATTATTTGGGTCTGGGTGGCCAGGAAACGAAAGTGCAGTCTCGGTTTGCATTCAGCCTCACTAAACTTTGATGTCCCTGTATGTGAATTCGGGTTTAGCAGTGAATGATACTTACCTTAAGTGAAGATTATATTATGGGAAGTACTCACTTAAATTGATAATTAGTAACTATTTTCCTTTATATAGGACCATTTTCTTGGTTCCATTCTATTCCCTTTTTGTCTTAGGAAGAAATTTCAGGTATTTTAGGTTGTGTCTTTCCACATACGTATGCATATATATCTATATAAAAAGACATATATGCAAATATATACATACAATAAGACACACATGTACATACATATGCATTAGGTTAGATTGATAACTATTGATTTAACACTTTTGGGGTCAAAATTTTAGAATAAGAAGTAGAGGAAGAAATGAACCAGGAGACTAGCTTGTTTTCCTGAGCTGGGCTCTTAAAACCTACTTTAGTCTAAAACGAAAGAAGTTCGGGGGGTCCTGGGAGAGCAGAATTGCAAGCATGGGTTTCAGAGGCTAGAGGACTGTAAAGTATTAGCTGGAAACCACCAGCAGGAGCAGAGCTAGTGCAAGGTCTGCTTGCGACACAAAGGATGGTTGGCATTGAGGACCGTCAGGTGGCTTTTCAGAGTAGGGTTGAGGGGTTCCCCTTTCCCACTCCCAACCTTAAAGGAGATTGAAGCGCCACCAGAGGCATTATCCAAAGTTAGATGATGGCGTGGATACAGGAAGGAAGGCACCACATGTTAACAGAACTGGTTTGTGGTTGAGGGTTGCTTTTCTTCATTACAGAGCCTGGATGCTTAGGAAACTGTTGAGGACAAAGATAAACCCAGGCTTCCTGATCCTCTCATCAAACCATTTTCCCCCAGGTACCTGAGCGCCCTCATCTTCCCTTAAGACTCTCTTGTGTGTCAATGTGTTATACTTACTAGAAAATGAATAGTTCCCACCCAAGCTGATAGAGATCTTGGCACTGGTTTAATTTGTGATAAATTTAGCTGTACTCTGAGAAGCATGTTTAAACCAAAGGAGAAAGTGGTCGGCCAGCTGGGCGCAGCAAATGACTCTGCCCCCATCCCCTTTCTAGTCTCCAGTGGTTAAAACTGCTGTAAAACTCACGTTCTTTAAATGTGGAGAAAACTAGTTTCATTTTTATCTTTTTAATTGTGAAAAATAAATTTCAAGAATCCGGGCATCAATATTTTGAGAGCTAAGATTACAGTCTCTTTCATCTATATTTAACTTGTTTCAAATGCGTTAAGACCCTGGAGGAAATGCCAGGCCCACTGCATGAGCTGGGGCCTCACTGTGCAGGGAGAACTCCCAGAGGCGAATCGTATTTTTAGAAAAGAAAGGAACCATACATAAATCACCTTTTCATCAGTTCTGGGACTCTTATTTTAACTACCAAATGGTCAATGAACTTAACCTAACTGGATGGGGCTTTGAAGTGTAGCTCAGGATCTCTTTAGGTAATAGCTATACTTTTCGAATTTCAAGTTCACTGGAAATTCAGGGCTGTTTGGGAGCAGAGTCATCAAAAGTAGAAAGACATTTATAGACAAGAAAGATCTCTCTCTGACTTGTAAGATCTACCATTTAAACACCTTTCTTTTGTGTATTGCTTTCATCATGAAAGAACTGTCTACTGCATATTTAAGGGAAGTATCTATGCATGTTCTGTTGCCACAGGCTGTGTTTTGCTCTTTTTTTTTTTTAAATGTTAAAAGTACAGAGGTGTCCGGACTGAAATCTCAAGGTCCAAATCAGGAGCAGAAGGAGAGAGAGCACGAGCAAGGAACTCAGGACCACGAGGGGTGCACCCACACACTGAGACAATGGGGATGTTCTATCGGGAACTCACCAAGGCCAGCTGGCCTGGGTCTGAAAAAGCATGGGATAAAACCGGACTTGCTGAACATGGTGGACAATGAGGACTACTGAGAACTCAAGAACAATGGCAATGGGTTTTTGATCCTACTGCACATACTGGCTTTGGGGGAGCCTAGGCAGTTTGGATGCTCACCTTACTAGATATGGATGGAGGTGGGTGGTCCTTGGACTTCCCACAGGTCAGGGAACCCTGATTGCTCTTTGAGCAGATGAGGGAGGGGGACTTGATCGGGGCAGGGGGAGGGAAATGGGAGGCGGTGGCGGGGAGAAGGCAGAAATCTTTAATAAATAAATAAATTAAAAAATTAAAAAAAAAGTACAGAGGTGTCATACACAGGTATGAGATTTTCACCAAGACTGTCTTACTTACCCATTACTGTAAACAAAATCTTCTTTCTATAGAAGAGCCTTTTATGGTATTGCAATTCTTCTCATTCAACCTTTTTTGTAGGTATGTGAGTGTGTATGTGTGTGGGCACACACACACACTATATATATATATATACACATACATATGTATATATGTGTATATATACATATGTATGTGTATATATACATATGTATGTATATATATATATATACAAGTGGACACACACATACATCTATATATATACAGGGTATCTATGCTGCATAGATGTGTGTGCACATGTATATACATATATATATATATATATATATATATATATATATATATATATATATATATACAGGGTATCTATGATGCACAGTGTTATGCACACACATATACAGGGTATCTATGCTGCACTGATGTGTGCACACACAAATATATACAGGGTATCTATGATGCACAGATATGTGTGCACAAATATACAGAGTATCTATGCTGCAGAGATGTATGTGCACAGGCTGATGCTTCACTTACAAGTGGACACAGTCTTAAGATGGATGGGAAATGCTGACATTCAGCAAAGGTTACAAGTGGACACAGTCTTAAGATGGATGGGAAATGCTGACATTCAGCAAAGGTCCTGCTACCTATTAAGAATGACGACTGGCTCGGAGAACATGAGCAAAGAAGTCGGGACCACGAGGGGTGCACCCACCCACTGAGACAGTGGAGCTGATCTACTGGGAGCTCACCAAGGCCAGCTGGACTGTGACTGAAAAAGCATGGGATAAAACTGGACTCTCTGAGCATGGCGAACAATGAGGGCTGATGAGAAGCCAAGGACAATGGCACGGGGTTTTGAACCTACGTAATGTGCCGGCTTTGTGGGAGCCTAGCCAGTTTGGATGTTCACCTTCCTAGAAATGGACGGAGAGGGGAGGACCTAGGACTTATCACAGGGCAGGGAACCCTGACTGCTCTTTGGACTGGAGAGGGAGAGGGAGAGGAGTGGGCGGAGGGGGAGAAGGGTGGGAGGAGGGGGAGAAGGGTGGGAGGAGGGGGAGGGAAATGGGAGGCTGGGAGGAGGTGGAAACTTGTTTTTTTTTCTCTCCTTTTCTCAATAAAAAAATGGAAAAAAAAAGGAAAAAAAATGAGAGCAACATTAATAACAGGGGAAAAAAAAAAGAATGACGACTGGCTTGGGTCTGTCTCTGATGTGTGTTGTTTCACCTTTGCCTAGCCTAGAGCTTGTCTGATCATTGCCTAGAGCAGAGGAAAAATAAGAGCTTGAGAATCCTTGGCACAAATCCAAAACAGCTTTCTACAGCATAGGAAAGCTACACCTTTATTGAGTTCTACAATTCATTAAGCTGCAAAGGTTCCTCGAAACCTTTGACACTGACTCAGCTCCAGGTAGGCATGTCTCACCACATGGACTAAAATCCTGTCTCATAAGTTTGAAGGGCTGCTGAAAGAATGTGAGCAAAGTGGAATATTTCCTGTCTCATTTTAAAATCACTGGGCAAATCCAGTTGAACTTGTTAGGAAATTGTTAGATTTTACTGTAAACACATGTTTGGATGGGGTGTGTTAAGGATTCTATTAGTTATTTTTTCCCTAAGTTTGCAATTTCACAAAACCACAACTAATGACAGATCTAAAACAAAAAACAAAAAGTGGGAGAGGAAATAAAGGAAGAAGAAACTAGGAGAAAGTGAATGAAAAGATAGCCTAGGAATTCTAACCATCAGTAAGTTCAAGGACCCTTGACTCTCTTAAGAAACAGGGATGCTCTTTCTCCATTATTTGATTTCCTTTTGCTAATATTTGTTACACAGATTGCATTTTGAGAAAAAAGAGGGACATAAAACTGAGAAATTTTAAAACTATAATCTGAGTTTGAAGCTGTGTTCTCAGACATAATTAAGAGAGATGGTCAGATGGTAACTGTAGCCGTC